GATGGTGCCTCCACCACCTCTCTGGGCAGCCTGTTCCAATGCTTGACTACCCTTTCCGTGAAATTTCTCCTAATTTCCAACCTAAACCTCCTCTGGCGCAGCTTGAGCCCATTTCCTCTCGTCCTATCGCTAACTACATGGGAGAAAAGACCAACACCCACCGCACTACAACCTCTTTTCAGGTAGTTGTAGAGATCGATAAGGTCTCCCCTCCGCCTCCTCTTCTCTAAACTAAACAATCCCAGTTCCCTCAGCCGCTCCTTATAAGGCCTGTGCTCCAGACCCTTCAACAGCCTTGTTGCTCTTTGAACACGCTCCAGCACCTCAATGTCTTTCTTGTATCGAGGGGCCCAAAACTGGACACAGTATTCCAGGTGCGGCCTCACCAATGCCGAGTACAGGGGGACAATCACCTCCCTGCTCCTGCTGGCCACACTATTCCTGATACAGGCCAGGATGCTGTTGGTCTTCTTGGCCACCTGGGCACACTGCTGGCTCATGTTCAGCCAGCTGTCGAGCCACCCCCCCCGGTCCTTTTTGGCCAGGCAGCTTTCCAGCCACTCTTCCCCAAGCCTGTAGCGTTGCATGGGGTTGTTGTGACCCAAGTGCAGGACCCAGCACTTGGCCTTGTTGAACCTCATACAGTTGGCCTCGGCCCATTGATCCAGCCTGTCCAGGTCCCTCTGCAGGGCCAATCCCCTCATCCAGATCATTGATAAAGATATTAAACAAGGCTGGGCCCAAAACAGAGCCCTGGGGAACACCACTTGTGACCGGCTGCCAACTGGACTTAACTCCATTTACCACAACTCTCTGGGCTCGGCCACCCAACCAGTTTTTTACCCAGCGGAGACTACGCCCGTCCAAGCCATGAGCTGCCAGGTTCCCAAGGAGAATATTGTGGGAGATGCTTTTTCATTTAAAATGCCTGATAATAAAATCACATTAAAATTTAGGTTCATAGAAATCCTGGACCTCATCTTGTCTATCCTACTTTTCAAAAGAGGGCCAATATCAAAGTCAGATCAAGTTTTGCAGGACTGTGTCCAGCTGAATTCTGAATGTCTCCAAAGATGGATATTCCACAGTCTTTCTGGGAAACCTGTACCAGTGCTTTATTGCCCTCATTTTGATTTTTTTTTTTTTTTAATTATAGCAAATTGGAGTTTTCCCTGCTGCAACTAATACCTATTGGCTCTCATCCTTTTGCTGTACAACTCTGAGAATACTCTGGCTCTATTTATCCTATAACACCCATTAGATAGTTGAAGACTTAAGACACTCCCCAACCCTTCTCTCCTCCAAACTGAATAAACCCAGATCCCTCAGCCTCTCCCTGCACATCCTGTGTTGTGGATCCCTAGCCATCTTGGTGACCATCCATTGGACTTCCCCAGTTTGCCAATGTCTTTCTTGTGCTGCTGGTTATTAAGCTGGGCACAGTCCTGGTGTGGAATCATATGTCCTGAGTGGAGGGTAATAATCTTTTCCCACTACCTGTTGGCTACACTCTTGCTAATGCAGCCCAGTATGCAGTTAGCCTTCATTGCCACAAGGGCACACTGGTGACTCGCGTTCAAGTTGTCTGTCAGGACCCCAAAGGCTTTTCTGTAAAGCTACCTTCCAGTCAGTTTTTCCCAGCCTTTACTGAGGCATGGGGTTATTCTGTTTGAAGGACAATAAATTTGTCTTTGCTGATCTTCATAAAGGTCTTGTCAGACCATTTCTTTGGCTTGTCAAGATCTCTCTAAATAGCAGCCATGCCTGTCAGTGTATTGACTACTTGTCCCAGTGGGATTTCATCCATGAATGTGATATGGTGCATTCTGTTCCACCACGCAGGTCGTTGGTGAAGGCATTAAATAATATCAGTCCATATGCTGACCAGTGAGGAATGCTACTCCTAACCATCCACGAGATAGACTTCCAACTTGATACCACTTGTTGGTGTTTCCTACTTCTAGAGTCAAAACCACTGCCTAGAACAGACAAACTGAAGGTCTTTTCCAATATGGTAGCTCCTGAATTGTCTTCATGTTCTCCTTCTGCTTGGAGGCAAAACAGACTAGATCTAGGTGGCAAGATCACCTGTTATCCTGAAGACTTGAATGCGGTATTCAGAATAAAAATATCAGTGCTCAATTAATTCAGTTTCTTAGTGAGCTACAAGGCATATTTTACTTTACTAATGGATGAACAAAGGCAGGAAGGAGTTGGGTTTTAATTGAGTTATTTAAAAGTAATGATAATTATAACTTTTTTATTTAAACAGTAATTTGCTTTCAAAAGAAACCTAAGCTTCAGTGACTAGAAAAAGAATATTTAGGAATCCCTTGATTCTCAGATGCAGACTAATTTAAGTGAAAGAGACAAAAATTATTTTTTAATTGAATCACAACTAATGAGATGAGCTTAAGAAATGAAGATTATTCCTTTAAGTAAGATAGCATATTTGATCTGGACTTCTTTTTAAAAGTTCTTACAGAAATGGCAACTAGAACCGTTCTAATGCTAACTGCTCTTGTTTTTACTAGAAGTTTCATCCTGGAGATGAAAAACCAATTCTTCATGAAAATTTTTTAAAATATAAATGTTCCCAAGAAAAGTTCCTTTTTTGACAAAAAGACATTTCTAACAAGAACAAAAAGTAGTTGAAATTCTTAAGTACTTCTAATAATACAATTACTAAGTAATCTTTAGACCAAATTTAGACTATGTGATGTCTAGTTTGCTGACCTTAAAGTGACATGCCATTGTTAACAGAATTAAAAAACCCAACTTCATTCTATCTCTTACTAAAGATGCATAGAATCATAGAATCATTTAAGTTGGAAAAGACCTTTAAGATCATCCAGTCCAACCTTGTGCATGCAGCACAAGGACAAATTTCAGTACTGCCTTGATAAAGGCAGTATCTTACATTAATAGCAAATAGTATTGCTATTAATGCAGTCTTAGATTAATAGCTAAAATATTGATTTGTTTTAGCATTAAAATATTTTTGTTAGCACATATGACAATACAATATTTATAGATATTATTGTGTCAGATCCTCATGATATTAACAGGCTTCAACAGAAATTGTGCTACTTCATCCCAGGATTCTGGTCTTTCGGAAATATGCAGTAGTATCAAGTTTTAATTGGAAAAACAAAAAAGAATTACAAGTAATTGAAATAGCTAAAGTAATTTAACCAGAAAAGAGTACATGGAAAACAAGCTTTTTCTGGGCTGTATAAACCTATGTTCTTCTAAGATTCCATACTTAACCTCAGCATTATATTCAGGTATATGCAATATATTCAGTAACTGTATATACTTTTCTACATAGGTTTGTTTCTCTGCCAATGAACTCGTGAAGATATTTTTAAAAAATAGTTCTTCCTCCATTTCTAAGGACCACTTCAAGCAAATCAGTCCAGCTATCATTCAGCAACTATTAAGTTGTTCATGTCAGCTTCCTGACTCCAAGCAGGCAAAGCTTCCACCAACAACTTTGGAAAGTGAGTTATGTTATCAGTAAAGTATTGTGAAAATTCAGATAACGGGTTTCAGGGGCTTAATTTCTGGAGACATTTCATTCCTTAATAAACTTAAACCAAAACATGATGAGATTTATGCACTCTATAATTTCATAGCATACATGTCAGATAACAGTACTATATTGAGAAATGAAGAAGATTCAGTGGTCTCAATTTTATATTAGACAGTTCTATTTCAATGTGTAAGGTTTTAAGCTTTATTTTCTTAATTTCTTAGAGGACTGCTTGATGTAAGCTGCAGGTGAACCACGACAGGTCCTTATCAGCGGGTTGCTGGGCAGTAATGACCTATTTTGTGAAATTTCCACCAGGTTTATAATGGAATCATTAAATTGCTTTTACATATAGCCTCAACATTATGTTAGCTGGCATTTTTTACCATGGTGTGGCAAATGCTTGATGTAGGTAAGTTCTGTGTAAATGTTCCTGATTTTTCATGTTGTGATATTTTACAGCAGAGAAGTTTTTGGGGGTACTACTGTGAGAAGAAAAAAACCCAGAAAACCAGTCACATGGGCAGCAGGACTTGTGTGATAGAGCTGGAACAAGAACTGAGTTAGAGCATAATCCGATTGTTTCCTGTTGCAGTCATAGCCCTCACATGCCACTGCTTCCAGGGATTTCTGCCCCATCTGTTCTGCTGATTCAAATTCTGTAACCAACCCTTAGTCCACCCTATTGAAAAAAAATCTGAATCTGATCTGACCTAAGGGCTTCTTAATGTGTTTCCTGTTAGTTTGTTTTTTTTTTACTTTAAACTAGCAATATCTGGCAAGTGGTTACAAACCTAGGTGTGCCAGTGTATTACAGGGGACATTAATTTCTGGTGGGGGATCTGGGAGCCAGGAATGAGCAAAAAGGAATGGGCATCTAATCATGGTCACCTGCATCTAGAGTAGCACTTTTAGGCTACAAATCAATGCCTTCAATACCTCTATCCTAATATCTACATGGCCAGCTCCAAATGACTAGATCTTTCAGGAGCTAGCAAGCTTTCCCCACATCCTGCTGGCCAACAATGCTTATGGAACAGCACTTTCCGTCTCTAAATTCTGATGGTACTTTAAGCTTTACACGTTAAGCAGCTTGTGGGAATGAGCTGAGCTATCATTCCATGGTGTACAGATTAATTGAACTATGAGTGTGAATTAAAAAAACCATGTTAGATAAGGGCATGGAAGGACACTCTTGGATATTGCAAGAAAGGTTATAGGAAGAAACGTATAGAATAGGAAGAATCATTATAGCTCCCCAGAAGGCAGCAGTCCTTCTTTCTTATGTTCTCTCTCTTCTCATTACCTGAACACCTTGCAGTCTTTATTGCTTTTATCTTTTCTATGCTACACAGATATGCCCATTTTTCAGATGGGGAATCAAGGGACAAAGAAACAAAGGAACTTACCCAGGTCATACACAAGGTTCATGGCAAATTCACAACTGAGTGAGATTCTCCCAAGTCTAAGGCCATCAGCCCAATCAATGACATTTTAGTGATCTCATAAAGGTGAAAGATCTGTGTAGATGAGAAAAGTTGAACTATTCAAACACAGAATGGAATTAATAAAATCCCTTTCTGCAGCCCTTTCCTTGTGCTTTTTGGCAAAGGTTTCCATGACCACAGAGACACTCCTGCTGGCTTGAGACAGACAAAGGACTTGACATTTGACCTATGTGTGACCTACTGACCTGAGCATAGGCTCACTAATTTAATTCTCAGTTCTGTTTTACTGACAGGCTGTGCTATTTTGGCCAAGTCACCAAGGCCTGACCTTCCATAAATATCTACTATACCCTTGTATTTGGATGTGCAGTCTGTGAAATTTACTGTCTGATTTTATGAGGTGCTGAGCATTGCAGTGCTATTAAAGTGTGAAACATTAAGCGACACTTTTGAATATTTTGGCATTAGTTCCTTTATGTCTGTTTCTCATCACTGTTTTACCTCCCTCATAAGACTTTCATACCGATTAATCAGGATTCATGTTGTGCAACAGGTTGGTAATGTGAGCAGTGTGTAACTCTGAAGAATTATAAGAGTAACCTTCCAAAAATCCCAGTAACTTCGGAAAAATAGGTTGGTGGTCCTGATATAGCAACTAAAGGTGTGCATGTCCACAGCATATTTCTAAACATAATTTGGACTAAAAAGTTTATGCTTAGAACCTGAATTAGATGCCTACATTCATCTGAGGTTTTAGGCCTTGGTTTGTTTACTGAATATGATTTGGTTAATAACGTGGTGTTGACTGTAAAGATACACAAGTGTGGCATGTGAGGGCATAGAATAACAAGCATAAATCTGTTAAGAGAGAAAACAAATGCAGACTAGCATCCATTGTGCTGCTCTGAGTGTCTCTAACCTGCACAGTCACAGTCTATTTAGCTCTTTAAGGTCTGAAATTTGGAAGCATTAGACTGTATTACCTGTAAAGCCTGAAAAAATGAATGTTTTTCAGGCTTCCAATTCACACATGACTAGAAAAATCTATGTGGCACAGTGAACACTTCTCCTCTGTGTGCTTGTACACAGAGGTGGCAAAACATAGCCTCAAAACCAAATACAAATACAAACCAAGTACTCAAACACAAATACAAATACTGAATGATTAAACGTGCCCTTGTTTTGTTTCATTTGTTTTTCCCTACAGAATATGGCTACAGCACTGTTGCTGTTTTACTTATTACTATTGGATCTATGTTTGGTACAACCCTCATTTTATTTAACTCCTGTCAAGAAATGTATACACTCATTTTACAGCTGTTTGTCGGTTTGGCTGTTGGGACCCTTTCTGGAGATGCATTGCTACACCTTATTCCTCAGGTAGGTAATAGACACTTTTGTGTTTTTAAAATGTTGACACATATGCACACACACACACAGATAAGTTTCATTTAAACCTGACTAATGTTCATCTGTTTGAAAATAAAACTTTTCATGAAATCTGTGAACCAACTACCCAGCATTCCAATTACATCTGCACTTGTAGTTCACAGATTCCAACTAGTAAGAAGCAGAAATCAATGAATGGTGAATTCAGAGAAAATAAGGTTCCTAATTCCACAAAAACTTTTCAGAAAACCCACAAGTCCTGTGAAAGCCAGGTCTCTAGATGGTTATTAAACTCTTTCATGAGGCAGAATCTGTAACGCATTTTAGGAGAAATTGTTCAAAGATGGTATGAGGCATCCACAGTCCCCTCCATGCATTGTTCCAGAGAACCAGGGGCTACCAGCCTAATTAATGCTGCTGCCAAGAACTGTAATAAATGGGTGCTATAATTTTCTCCTAAATTAATAAAACAAATTTTAAGAATGGGATAGCATGTAAAACTGAACCACATTTTCCATTGTGTATTCATTTATTTTTGACTAAATTTCCTCTGACATGACACAACTGTTATGAGTAGACTTCAACTGGTCATTGAAAGAGAGCTTCACACCTTCACTTGAGATTCTGGTCAAAATGTTCTTTGTACTTAATACATAATCTCTGGAAGCAGAACTGGGAGAGTGGTTTAAGGAAAGCAGTTCTCAGTGAATGTCAGGCATTTTTGAGTGTCAAAGTATTCTCCTTCACCAGTTTTAAGTGACATATCCAGTAGCCTTTACAGTGCCCACTTTCAGAGCAAAGGAGGGCTACCATGCTGTGCCGCTGGGGAAAAAATGGAAGCACACCCACAAGCAATAAGCTTTATGGATTATTTTCAATATGAAGTTTACATCTGAAGATGATGCAAGTAACTTTTTAGACTTTAAAGCTCAATATACTCCAAACAAAGTATACCAACTATATATATATATAAAAAGGGCAATTTCATAAAAATGTCTCTAAAGATGTTATTTTCACCATTGAGAGATGATGAAGTGTAGCAGAGTCTCCTAATAATTCATTTCATCCATCTACTATTCAGCTGATTAGCTCAAAACAAAATTTAAAGTTGAAAGAGATAGCAAAAGAAAATTTTGAGAATAAATTGAACTAACACATTATGAATTGCTCTAGCAAAAATTAAAACATTGCTATTTTAATTTTTTTTTTACTTTATCTCTTTTTTTAGACTCTTGGTTTACATAAACATGACGCACAAGAGGTAGAACATTTCTATGAGGGGAAAGAATATATTTGGAAACTTTTGGGAATAATTGGAGGAATTCATGGATTTTTTCTGATAGAAAAGTGTTTCTTTCTTTTGGTAACACCACATGACCAGGTAAAACTTTGTACAGTTTATCCTTTAAAAAATCTCTTTTATTTTGAGATTTTACAGTGCACAAAATGTTAAAATGACTGTGGAAAATAATTATCATTTGTATAAGTTAAATGAAGCATTAAAAATTGCTTTCCAAAGTGCTCCAACCAGATTGACCTTCAATTTCTATTTTGCTTTGCTCTATGGATTTTAAATGTTTCATGAACATGTTCCATGTATTTATAACTCAAGAAGGAAACAGTTAATTAAATGTGTTCCATAAGCATACTTTCATGACTAGCACTGGAGCAGGTGAACAGTATGTATCCATATGAAATAGCAATGACAGTTGTTTACTCTAGGCTCTCTTTAAAGAGGAGGAAGACATAGATGTAAGCACAAGATATTTTCAAGAATGATGTCTTAAAATTTCCAAATTGTTTTTGACCCCTATCCCAATAGATTTGAAAAGCTATTATGTATGTTGTGGCCAGTAGAACCCAGTCTTATACCTGAAAGGAGGTAGTAGTGAGGTGGGTGTTGGTCTCTTCTCCCAAGTAGCTAGCGATAGGACGAGAGGAAATGGGCTCAAGCTGCACCAGGGGAGGTTTAGGCTGGAAATTAGGAAAAATTTCTTTACGGAAAGGGTGGTCAAGCATTGGAACAGGCTGCCCAGAGAGGTGGTGGAGTCACCATCCCTGGAAGTGTTCAAAAAACAGGTAGATGTGGCACTTCGGGATATGGTTTAGTCTAGTCTACCCTTGATTGGTTTAGTGTGGACTTGGTAGTGTAGGTTAATGGTTGGCCTGGATGATCTTAAAGGTCTTTTCCAACCTAGACGATTCTATGATTCTATGATTCTAATAGTATCTCCTTGCTCTCTGCCATGTTTATAGTAATTCTATTACTTTATTTCAGTGTGGCTGGTGCCTGAAAATATGATTATGTACAAGGATATAATGTAACACAAAGTGTGATGGCTCATTAAGTTTCTCAGCATGGGAGGCTATCTTAATGTCACTTAAGAAGGCTAAGCCTTTGCTTGTTCTGTTTTACAGAGAGTGTTTAATGACTGGTCTGATTTAGATACATAAAAATGAGTCCCTATTTCCACTATTTGAGTCAGCCATAAGAATATTATGTGAGAGTAATAGAATGAGAATATTTCGATGGTGGTGGTATTTTGTTTGTTTGGTTAAAACTATTCCTTTTTATTACTTATTTGGAGAGAAGGGCTTTATCATCATCCCCCAAATTTTTAAACTTGTTCTACTGAGAACTAGATGAATTCTCAAAGTTAATTTTTATATCCAACTCAGCTTCAAATTTTAATCTTCAATTTTAAAACAAAATAAATTTTATCAAACCATTATGGTTGTCACTGATTTATCTGATTCACTTTTCAAGGTTTTTTTTAACCAAATAAGTATTAGGAAATTTTGATAACAGCCAACAATCTTCTTCAATAGGTTTTGTTTTGAAAAAAATAATTCCTATAAATGCTAAACTTTCACAAAAGGCTGAGAAAGAATGCACCTGTGTTCATTGGGTTTCAGAACTAATTGCAAAGCATCTTCGTTCA